CCTCATTGTCATAATTATAGTTGGGGTCAAAGGTCATGAACTTAAGACAAAGCTTTGTTACTGTGGCGACATGGGGAGACATCTCCTTTGGACACCTGTCAATCAATGCACACAACATGAGAAACGGACACAGATGACACGGTGTGTGTGTGTGTGTGTGTGTGTGTGTGTGTGTGTGTGTACCTGCGTATAAAGGCTTCAAAAGCCTGGAAACAATATTCTCTGAGCTCGTCGTCCTCCACACCGGTAAATTTAACCACCATGGGGATCAGCTTCTCTAAATGCTCACCTGCAGAACACACACACACACATATAAATTTGAAATCTGCGCTATCCTAGAATAAAAAGAAGTAACTCAGAATAGTGCAATAAGAAAGAAAATAAGAATAGTATAATAAGAATCAATAATTTAAAAATCTATATGAAAACTGAAAGGCGACCAATGAAACGACTGTATAAGGGCTCGCGAGCACTCGAATGAGACGCAGCAACACATCTCACCGACTCGATGGCCGCCCTGACGGCTAACAGTTGCCAGGCACTGGATGTATGTCCTCATCATTGAAGTGGGCGGACCTTTGGCCAACTCTGTCAAAAGGTGCTCAGTCAGCTGGGAGAAGAGGGCGGGGCTACAGCAGGGCACCAGGTGACCGAGAGCCAAGATGGAGCGCTTCCTGACCGCCATCCTGGCGCTGGTTAACTGACAGAGCATCAGGGTGAACAGTGATTGAATAAATTAATAAATGGACAGATGGACAGACAGATGAGAGATGGGAGGATAACAAATAAAAGAAAATACAATAAAAGAAAACATGGCTGCAGGTTGCAACATCCAAGCACAATATGTCACAATGAGTGAAAAAGAAAAGAAAGGAAAATCATACACATAATATACTGTTTATAAGTTACGATTATAAATTAATAATAGTTGATAATATTCCCATACTTTTAGCGTAATTTTAAAACAGCAACAGAGATTACAAACAATATTGAACTTATTTAACTTAACAATGGAGGTTAATAACGTTTGTGACTGTGATGAATTACTTATCTCATATAATAAGAAATTCACCATGAAATGTCACAGTTATTCAATTTTTCTGTGTGTAAAATAAAGACATGACACTTTTAATTAGTACATTAGTGCTGCAAAACCGACTATAACAAATACTACTACTGCTGCTACTATTTACTTTATTATTATAGATTATAGCATTTAGTGTTAAAGTCTGACTGTTTCTTACCTGAGGCAGCAGGCTGGAGAGCAGAGAGCTGTGGAAACTGACCAGTGCACCGCTCAGCCTGGAGAAAGATTAAAAACCCAGCAACAATCATCACTAGCATCATCTGTGACTTCTTCTTCTCTCAATATCACGTCCTGTCAGGTCATGTTGTTGATCATTGGATAAACACTCGAGCAATCAACTACTTTTGTTTAATATTTAAACCTGATCTCATTTTGACAAAGTATTCTTTTCTGTTCACCAGTGTGTCAATAGTTCTTACTAACATTCAGTGTGATTCAATGTTGAAACAAGTCTGTGTCAGCCATGCTAGCAGTACTTCAGCTAAAATGCTAACATGTTGGTGTTTAGTAGGTACAGTGTTTACCACGTTCACCATCTTCGTTTAGCTGTTACCATGCAACACTTGGTAATTACCACTAAACACCACAAACAGCTGGGGCTGATGGGAATGTCATTAGTCATAAACCAAAGTATTGGATAAATTAATATTGTAACCTTATGATGGTTCAATCCATCTAATTACTGTCAAGACATTTCACCTGAATCAAAAAAATGAGGATCACCAAAGTCAGTAGGATTGGAGAACATGAGTGTCTGTAGAAAATGTCATGTCTATCCATCCAGTAGTTATTGAGATATGATGAACTGACCGTCTGACATCGACAGAGCCACGCGGCTGAAAATATATATAAATAAATACTAATGTTTTGTTATTACCTTCCCAACATGTCCGACAGGATGTCCAGGGCCTCCAACTGAACTGACACATCTTCTTGTTTCCCGATGGCACCAATCAGCTGGGAGGTTATCTTCTTACACACACTGATTGTCAGTGTCAAACCTGGCAACCCACACATACGAGAACCCAGAGGGGAAATTTTGAAAAAGCTATGTGTAACATTAAGCAAAACACACGTAGGTAACTTCAGACTCTTTTATCTTAATTGTCTATGTTGGCACTGAGAAATATGAGAAATACAGTTATTCTAAATGCAGTGCATTTAAATTAAATTGAACAATCAATACAACTGACTGAAAAGTCAGAATTTAATGCTTAATAATGTTCGAGGTGTTGATTTATCAAATTTGTGGGACATTAAAAAAAAGACAGAAATGGTCAAAAGCAGCATCAGTGGACCAGCATCAATATCTGTATCATATATTACTAGATTGTATCTGCTCATGTTGTTTTACATTATACTTTTTAACACAATTTAATTTACTTAATTTAATAGCTTTACTATTTTTGGGTGCCTAACAACATCAGACAAAAGGACTAAAACTAGCCTGTGGCTAACTCATACATTTACATTTTTGTTTGAATGTTGATTAATGTACATTGTCCCTTCTCAAATGAACAATAGATGTGTCATAAGTTCATGATAAAAATAAACAAGTTTACAATTATGTTGTTGTTCTTCTATTTGTTTAACATGTGGTTATTTTAAGAATACTATACTCTAAGAATACCACAGGGCACTTGTGTAAACTAAGCTCTGAATGTAAAAGTGCACAGTTAAATTGACTGCGCTGCAGCTACACATGTGTAATGTCTGGTGTAATATATGTTTTGCTATGTATGTGAAACAGTGTACGAATATGCAACTTAGCTAGGCAATTCTTTAAAATATTATACCTAAAGCACATTTTAGTATCCTACTGGTAAGAATGACCCACTTAAAATAATATTTGTTTATTATTTTATAATATATTAAAATATCGGTATTAAAAGGCCTCTTCACACAGATTAATTTTAATATTTAAAGCCAAAATTCTGAATTTAAACATAGAAACATCTTTATAGTCAGATGGAAAGCTCGCATCTAAAGCTGGTCGTCACATAATTTTAAACAAGTAGAAAGCTGATCGCTGTCCTCACCTGACGAAGACAGCGGCAGCTCAGCGATCACAGTCTTCAGTCCCATGCTGGAAATGTCTCTCAGCTGCTCCTTGTCCGACATCATGTTTGAACACAGCGTGTCCACCATCGTCTCCACCTGAGGCTCCTTCACTTTGCTCACCAGAGGGGCCAGGCTGAAAATCAAACATACCCAGTGAATCAGCTTTACTGTGTGGAGTCCGAACAATAATGCTGTGATGATGTGTCATATGTTATACACCACAACTGAGCCAAGTATTTAAATACATACAAGTAAACACTGAGACTGTGTGCATGTGTGTGTGTGTGTGTGTGTGTGTGTGTGTGTGTTTTACCATTTAACAGCCAAGTTCTGCACCTCCCCGTTCTTGTCCTCCAGCAGCTTTAGCAGCATGGTCACCACTTTCCTCTCACTGTCCTCGTCCAGTTTGATGCTGTCCTTTTGGAGCTCCAGCATCAGGTCATTAGTGGCCATGAACCTGGTCACACACACAGAGAAGGGAGACACAGGAAGGGGAAAGAGGGATGACTTAAGACTAAACAGAAAGAGACAAAATGCAAAAACATACAAAATACCTGACTAGTAAAATTACAAAATGTCTTATTATGTTGCTGTGATATTACATTCCCAGCCGAGAACACACATAAACACACACACACAATAAATAGAAAATAGAAAAACTCAATTAATCAAGGTGATCAGCTGAGTAAAATCTGTATTATGTTGTTGTAGACACTCTTATCTCCCCACACACAGAGACATACTTTTTCAAATTTGGTAAAACTATACTTGTGATTACAAAAATCTAAAATTAAATATATTATTTAGAGGAAAGATACTGTGTAGTAAAATGACCCACACATACACTGAGCCAGGATTAAAAAGTGTCATCTCACTGTCAGACGCACGAGCTGTTCAGTAACAGTTACTCTGTCTTACCTAAAATCTTTGTCAGTAGATGTCATTTTCTCCAACAAGTTGGAGATGTGGTAAGACACATTCGACATCTTGGTACTTTGACAGCTGTCAGCGGCGCGATGAAAGTTATTCTGCGATAACAAAAATCTGGGGCGACAGATTTAACCCGAGAACATGGCGAGGCTGAAGGGGAGCGAGAGAAGCAACACAGGACGTCTAACCAGCGGGCAACTTGACACTTGGTGGGTCGAGATAAAAATAGATGTCAAAAGTTGAAAGTTGTTTTAAGGTTTATGGCGCTACCGTGTGGACACATTAAGTCCGGCACTTTTAGAAATCTGTAATTAAAAGTCACTTGGTGTTTTATTGTCTGTTAATTACAGTAAAACGTGAAATGTTAAGAGTAAATCATCGTTAATAGGCCTAACATTTAGTCCTAAACTTAACAACATACCAAATTGGATTAACCGTCTACATTTAGCTAGAAGGTTACATTTTATTTATTTTCATGTGGCTCTAATATGATATTATCAAAGTCAAAATCAACTTCATTGTCAAAAGGCACACAGAGGATTGAAATTGCGTTGCTCTCCTGACCCACGGTGAATGTAAGACAAAAACAAATAACAAAATCAATCATTTAAAAGCCAAACAGTAATTAACAAATTATTTACAATAGTAAAACGAATTATTTAAAATTCTTTACAATCAGTGTAACAGTTGAAAGAATCAGGTTTATTTATTACAAGTCTAAATGTACAACGCTTTATTATTATTATTATTATTATTATTATCATCATCATCATCATCATCATCATCATCATCATCATCATCATCATCATCATCATCATCATCATCATTATTATTATTATTATTATTATTTAATGATTGAACACAAATTAAACTTTTAGTATGTGGAACCTTTTCACCGTTTGTTGGTTCCGCCGGTGGAAACTATCGTCGGACCCTGTGGGTGGGAACGAAGCGTAGCGGCTTCTGTGCTTGTTGCCACGTCGGAATAGTTGATGAAACGGGTTTATTCAGTTTGAATAAAAGAAGGAGCATTTTTCTAGTGGGTTTCTTTTTTTGGCGGCAGTCATGGTGAGTGTAATTAATTAAAGCTGAGTATGAAACTGTTTGTTTACGGTTGTGTTGTTTTACGTTGACCGTTAGTTGCTGACGTGCCCAAGTGGCTAGCTGGTTAGCACGCAGGCTAACGGCACAGAGCTTATCCCTAAACCATTACAGTACATCTTTATATCTGTGTAATGTTAATGCTGATGTATTTGTTTGTCAATTTCAGGTTTCCGTTATCAACACGGTGGACACCTCTCATGAGGACATGATCGTAAGTTTCCTTCCTTGATGTAGCCCCTGTTAGCTGATGAATGAAGCTAACGTTAGCATTCGCTGTGGTTTATTGAGAATTTGTGATTTTCTAGCTTCATGTTACATGTAAGCGGTACGTGGCATTGCTTTTAAGGTTAGGATAAGATTAGGTTCAGGGTTAGTTAACGTGATGGGGAAACGAAACGATACTGCTGGTGGCTGCTGCTGCTGACATGTCAATATTAATACTCTCAGATCTCAATGTTATGATTTTTATTACACCGATTGTGCCACATGTTTGTGGAATGATCATGGCTAAAGTTTAGGAAACAATCTTACAAACCTACATTTCATCTCAGCGCATTAGAGAACTGTTTGATTTAACTTAGCATTTGGTTAAAAACATGGAAGCTGTGGATTCAGCAGTTTATTGTGTGCATTCTTACAAAACACCATTTGCCATCATCAGCATGTTTTAACTTTGGATTATTATTTCACTCTGACTGAATATATATATATATATATATATATATATATATATATATATATGGAAAAGTGATTGGGGGGAGTATTTTCTCTCTTAAGGTTAGTGTTACACAATATTGCCAAAATGTGATATTGATCATAAATATTGTGATAATGATATTAATTTCGACATTCTTAAACATATGAAAAAACTCAAAAGTTGATGGGCTCTGTTTCTGATGTTTCCTCTTCAATATCCGTTGTTGCGTTGTCTCCCTGAGCCTCACTCATCTTCTTAGTTTCTCTCTCTCTGCACTCACGCTGTCGAAGTATGCACTCAGTCACCTGGTATGCTCCATAGGATACGTTTGTGTAGTGGACCCGTGCGCTCACATTCTGCATGTGACAGGGCAACTGGCCAATGAAACATGATCATTATATAGCGGCTTCAAGCCGGCTCTAAATCAAATAAAACTAAGCCACACAGCCAACGGACGCAACTATCCACAAAATAGACAGTATATTGCACACGTTCCACAACATTTTCAACGTGATATTGTGTGCACCCGTATTTCAAGTCTTGTTGTCTTGTTCTGTCTATTGCAGCATGATGCCCAGATGGACTACTATGGTACCCGGCTCGCCACCTGCTCTCCGACCGCACTGTAAAGATCTTTGATGTCAGAAATGGAGGACAGATCCTGGTGGCAGACCTCAGAGGGTAAGATAACGTTGTTCCACAACCAAACCAAATCTGAAAGAAATCTGTCACTTAAGCTGCATTAAATTACATTAAATACATTGCACAAGTTAACTGCAGCTGCGTAATAAGTGGTGGTGGTGATGATTTATTTAGTACGCTTGACTTCTGTTACTACTCCACCTATTGTTCAATTATCATGTTAATATTGCAGTACAAAGGGCTGTACCATGGATATCACATTATTGGCATTTATTTGTATCACACACACACACTGAGGATCTAAACTAAACTTGGATCTCTGTGTTTGTGTAGCCACGAGGGTCCCGTGTGGCAGGTAGCCTGGGCTCACCCGATGTTCGGTAACATTCTGGCTTCCTGTTCCTACGACCGTAAAGTCATCATCTGGAAGGAGGAGAACGGATCCTGGGACAAGATGTATGAATACACCGGACATGAGTCATCAGGTCGGTAGCTCTCCGTGTGTCCAGGTGAAATAACATCGTACAGGTTATTTTGTATCTCACATTTGTGTCTTCATGAGTTTTTTTTCTCCGGTTTCTCCTCCCTGATGGTTCTTTAGAGAAAATGTCTGTCTGGTTTTTATTTAATCTTGTTGTTGTTGTTGTTTCTTCATCGTATTGGGGATCAGGTCAGTGATAGAATGACAGTGCTGACTGGTCAACGTGAGTGTGTTGGAGTGTTGTCTTTAGCTTTGTTTGTTAAATCCACTCTTGTGTGTCTACAGTGAACTCTGTCTGCTGGGGTCCCTATGAGTTTGGTCTGCTCCTGGCCTGCGGCAGCTCAGATGGAGCCATTTCCCTTCTTACATTCACTGGGGATCAGCAGTGGGACGTCAAGAAGATCAGCAACGCACACACTGTGAGTTTGAGGCACAGTTCAGATGGTTAAAAACTGTATTTTCTGTTTAACTTCAATAACTACTATATTTCAAGCAGCCTTTAGATGCAAAAACAGAACAGATGAATAATCACTGAAGCATTTACATTGGCATATTATATTACATTATATATCTTATCTAGCCAAGGTGTTACTAATTGTACCAACTCATACTGTACTAATTAATTTGTATTTTTGATATCACACCATAAGAATTCTTAGCGCGACAAATATTGTATTCATTTCATACGTGTCATTTACACTGTAGATACTGGAGACATGTCTCCCATCACTTTTTTTTATATAAGAATTTGTTAAATATGTTCTGGGAAAAAAAAAAACTAATGAAAATACTTTGAGAAAGGTTTATTTGCACAGTAAGAAAACATGCAATGCAATGTAGATATAGAAGAAACAAAAAAGTAAGTTAAAGTAACTGAAAGCTAAAAAACAAGCTGCTGATTACTGCATTATATTCTGTTTGAATAGTCACCTGAATTTTCTGTTTTACTATATATAAATAAAGACAAATCTTACATAAATTGGTGCAGAAAATGTCTCCAGAATGCAGGAAATTAAGTGTTTAATACTCAAAATTTTCTAGGACCCCCAGACCCCCATCTATATATTTCAGCATTGAATATTTTATCAAAATAGTGTTAAAATATCTTCTTGTATTGTTCTCGTGAATCCAATATTCTGCATCGTGCATGTGAGTTAAGTGTATCGTCACACCCCTAATCTGAACCCCTATGTCCCACTTTTCAACACAAAGTGACGTCCTTGATTCATTTTATGTTATCAGAGCACAAACACCTCCCCAAAAGCTATAGTGTATTAAATATGAATGTATTATAATACATTTTTTTATAAAATTCAGGTAACCTTTCTCAGGCTTAATATTCATACTGATTTTCCATTATATGGCACTTAAGTTTGCATTAAATTTCATCCTAGGTGGTATTAAAAAGTTCTTAAACAGTCTTAAATTTAACTTTGAGAATCTGGGGGGCACCCTGTCATAGAAAATAAAGAATATTGAATATCTAGTGAGTTGTAAATTATACATAGGCATAACATCATCTGAAACATGAAAAATGTAACTCAGAATAAGAACACAAACCATTTTTAAACATGTGAAATGATGTTGAAGATTGTATGTTTGAGTTAAGGACCCTTAAACATAAATGCTCTCTTTCCTAATACTGTTTTAAAGTTCTTCATCAATACGGTTCTTAACACTGTTTGTCTACTCCTTTTATTGTAACATTATTCTTGTAATGTAATACTGTGATCTGTGCTGTTCTTTTCAGGTTTGTCTCTGTTCATTAATTCAGTTGTAATTTTTCCTGCAGATCGGTTGTAATGCAGTGAGTTGGGCTCCTGCTGTAGTTCCAGGCAGCCTGATCGATCAGCCGTCAGGACAGAAACCGAACTATGTCAAACGCTTCGTCTCCGGAGGCTGCGACAACCTGGTCAAACTCTGGAAGTGAGTTACTGTTTAATAGACTTTGTGTGGCACGTGAAGGTTTCTCCTGTAAAATAAAGTACAGAGCAGAGAATAATCACAGGGTTTGTCACTTCTTGCCTCCAGAGAGGAAGACGGCCAGTGGAAGGAGGATCAGAAGCTGGAGGCTCACAGTGATTGGGTGAGAGACGTCGGCTGGGCTCCATCTATTGGTCTTCCCACCAGCACCATCGCCAGCTGCTCCCAGGTGAGACTTATTGGAAGTAAAGGGATCATAAATATGTGACATTTTCATTGAGACACTTGACCCGTCCAACAACAGCAGCACTCAACATATTTCAGTGTTGAAGAGAATCGCTGCCTAATCAATAAAACTGCTCTTTTTTTTTATCAGCAGTTTATTTAGTACATTAAGCTTTGGTGTATTTGTACCAGCAGGTGGAGCCAGAGATAACATCCACTTCAGCAATTTCTCAAGTAACCTGGTGAAAGCTGTAAAAAGCCTAATTCACAGACGCACAGCACTTATCTTAAACATTATTCAATAGGCTCCTTTTATAAAGCAAGATTTCATAATGAGTCAGAGTGGGAAAAAGGTTTTATTGGCAGCTACCAAAGAACCTTGATGAATAAAATCAAACGCTGTCTGCTGGGTTTCCTACCACCGGAGCTGAGCGGGATTCATTTGTTGAGATTTTGGTCACAGTTTCCTTTGCACTTTCTTTAAGGACGGACGTGTGTTCATCTGGACGTGTGACGACCCCGCAGGCAACACCTGGACGGCCAAACTGCTCCATAAGTTTAATGATGTTGTTTGGCACGTCAGCTGGTCTATCACTGGAAACATACTGGCTGTTTCTGGAGGAGACAACAAGGTAGAGTATATAAAGTAACACAGGCCCACCTAGTGTACCTTGTTTTTTTTCCCCCAATAATGTAATTGTGATCTGTGATTTTTCCTGATATATTTTCTCTAGTTAGATGCATCAAACCCAGAAAGTTCCCTCATGTTTTTGTGGTTCCAGATTTTATGAAAACAGATTTTTCATTTGTCAGTTTGATTTTTATGAAAATGTCATGCTAAAAATAACCTGTAGTGAAGGTGTTGTACCTGATGTCATACGTTTGTGTATTTCTCCTGTAGGTGACACTGTGGAAGGAGTCGATGGACGGTCAGTGGGCGTGTATCAGTGATGTCAGCAAGGGCCAGGGGGCCGTCTCCACCATCACAGACACACAGCAGAGCGAGCAGTGACACACACACACACAAATAACAATGACCCCGGACTCAAGGATGACCCCAATCTTCAAAGATGAATTAAGCGTTAAAGAATCCGCCGGACATTTGAACAAACAAACATTGTCCGCTAAGAATGAGCTACTTCTGTAATGTTTGTGTTTGAGCTTCAGCTCGGCTGTCTGGTAATGATATTATGAGTTATTAAGGAGTTCAGCTGTTGGACACCTGTTTGACCAAGATAAATGTTCCCAAATTTTATCAGAAGGAAAGAAACCTTCACAGTTGAAAGATGGAGATTCTTCATAAACATGACTGATTATAAACTAAACATATTTTTTATCAGATGCACGCCACTGTTTTTTTCCCCACAGTTTAGAGTTCCCACATGTACATAAACTCCGGTCCAAATATAACTAAGTAGACAGCATCACACCCCGACCTCTATCCTGTCCCATGATGCTCTGCTCCTGAAACATTCCACCTCCACCAGCAGAGAGCAAAACTATCGCCCAGGATGATCCCGGCAGTCCCTCGACTTTCAACACTTTATCACTTGTTGGTTAACCCAAACCGCTAAAGAAGCTTTGTATTGAGCAGAAAAACCCTCTTGAGCAACAATTAAAACGCAAAAACTGACTCGACTGTCTGGTTTTCACTTGTGAACGGCTCGTGTTCAACTTTAGCTGTTAAATTTAATAACAAAGGTAAATAAATGATTTATTTAGTAAACTTTTGATAAGTACACATTCTTTTCAACACATGCACGAGGCTGGTTGTCAGCAAATGTCAACAGGTGTTTAGAAATTCAGAACTTGCCTTAATTAATCAGCCGCTAACACTGATATGGCAACCAGACGTGAAGAAGTCAATATGAATGAGACATAACTGCAAACAGTTTTTGAGTGTTTTCTCTCAGTTGTGAGATCAGAAACCATGGATGTTTTTCATAATTGATGTAATTAAAGAATGTTAAAACAATATCCTGTTTATTTTTTGCTCCTGCTGTCATACTGTTTAATATTCCTGTAATTATAAAGGCTGCTTAGAGAGTTGTTTCCGTGGAGCCTGCAGTCTAGATAAGACAAAGCTGCAACAGAAATGTGCTGAAAGTCTGAAGAGTTATTCAGAGGATTCTATAATCCTGATCACCCTTTTAAAAATATGTATTTTAAAAAATGAACTTGTTCTCCAGACATGTTTTAAGATGTTAACAGTTTATATTGAATTCTTCTGTAAGTAACCAAAACACAAGCAGCTCTGTCGTCAAAACTTTAATGCAATACTTAACATTTTAACCTGTTCAATAGTAGAAAATCCACTTTAGATACTCAGTTTATGTTTATTGTCTCTGTTCATACAATATTAATGTTTTGCTTTTGGTAAATGTTTGTACATTATTCTGCTGCAAGTCTCTTGTTTCACCATGTACGATTTCAATCTGGAAACATGCGTGACTGTCACCCAAGTTTGCACCAGCTTCACTGGATGGAAGATTCAGAGTAACTAAAGGCTCGTGCAGACTACACTACTTTCAGCGTCAGCCGATGGCCGTGCTGTTCAGACTACACAACTTGTTGTCTTGTGACGGGAGTCTTGAAGTCGTTGTGGAGCTCACAGTAAGTAAATTTACTCAAGTATAATTTTGACTTACTTTTGTATTTCCATGTAATGCCACTTTATACTTCTACTTTACCACATCTCAGAGGGAAATATTGGAATATATATGTATAAATATATATGTGTGTGTGTATATATAGGAATATAGCCTATTGGAAATATTTGACATTTGATAATAACCTAGAAGTGGAAATATTTGTGGGTGGAGAGGATACAGTTTAAGTTGAGAGGAAATAGTGACGTAAAAGTGAATCAGTGAGATGTAAGATCTGTTTAGTTTCAAGGCAGTGAGTCCAGCTGACCGAACACAGCCATCTCTGTGGTTTGGTAGGAACTGCACAGCCTTGAAGCAGGTGCTGAAAGCATGACAAGAAGCAATATCAGTGCCATCTGAAACCACCAACCACTCACTCAATGACGAACAGAGCTCCTTTAGCAACAAGCTCACCACCTCAGAGCCAGGAAATGATTCAGTCTCTCGTTTGTGTTCACCAGTGGTGGAATATAACTATAAAGTACTTAGAATTTCTATTTTATTTTATGCAACTGTATATCTCTTTTCTACAGATGCAAGTACTTTACTTTCTACACCATTACTTTAATCTGACATCTTGTCCAGTTGAGGATCCGTGTCAGGTTTCTGATGTCTCTGAGTTGTTTGCAGTTCAACCAAAGAGAGAAAACCTTTCATGTGGTTTAATTTAAATCACTGATCAAGACCCCAAGAGGTGAAAGTATACAATATGGATAGAGAAAGTCCAAAAAACAAAAACAGATGACTCTATTGGAACTTTGTTTATTCTTCTTTCCTCTCCCATTAATTATCTCATGACTCCTCAGGTTTACCTGGTGACCCTTTGGAGGGGCCCGACCCCTTGGTTGGGAACCACTGGACTAAACTAACTAACTGTGTATAAAGTAAAACTACCTCCACCACACTGCAACAGCAAAATTATAGTAACGATAGTAGTATACTGCGAGTACTTTAAAGTAGTTCTGTTCAGTTTGAGTAAATGTGTTCATTTACATTCCACAGCTGCCTACTATTTAATGTTTATACATTTCTGGACGATCTAGTCTTAGTAATCACCATTCAAACTCCCAGAAGGTCAAATTGTATTTTTAGAAGATATGCATGCATAAATTGACACCATTAAAACTTAAACAAAAAAGATTAACATGTTTTCTGATTACAGGATTATTGTTAATCAATTACTTATTACTGTAAACCCAACTTTCTTTGTTACATTTGTTCATTTTAGCTGACGCTTTTATCCAAAGCGACTTACAATTGCTATACATGTCAGAGGTCGCACGCCTCTGGAGCAACTAGGGGTTAAGTGTCTTGCTCAGGGACACGTTGGTGGGTCACAGTGAACCCGGGTCTCCCAGACCAAAGCCATGCATCTTTTCCACTGCCCATCACCACCACTTGTTACACAGTACATTACACATAGCTGTGGTTTCTAGAGTGGGATCTCTGGGGACTTTCCAAGGTGATTCTCTGAACTGGTGTTTTCAAACAGAAAGGTATTTATCCAAAGCGACTTACAATTGCTATACATGTCAGAGGTCGCACGCCTCTGGAGCAACTAGGGGCTAAGTGTCTTGCTCAGGGACACATTGGTGGGTTTAAACCAAATACTTCACTTCTCTCTTCTTGGGAGTTACATTACATTACACATAGCTGTGGTTTCCACAGTGGGATCTCTGGGGACTTTCCAAGGTGATTATCTGAACTGGTGTTTTCAAACAGAAAAGTATTTAATTTTGTTGCAGGTGGCCTCTTTGATATCCTTGGCACAAAATTCTCCTTATCTCCCTTTTCTTGGTGATGTTTACTCCTCCGCTGACCTCCCTTATCCATTTGTCTACATTCTTGTTTATACTCCTTTACCCAAAAACTGTCCACACTCTTACAATCACACACACATGCCTGATGATAACTGATAATTATTTAGAGCAAACTAAAAACGTATTAAAACTCATAATGTATAATAAAATAATGTATGATGATGCTTCGAAAAGTAAGATGCACAACCCTCTCAGTCATTAACTGTGACACAACTGTGGGGGTTTGTGAGTGAACTTCCTGCCTTTCTTTCAGTTTTATCGGACAGTTTCTGCTGAAACTCTCAGTCCCGTCTGCCTGCTGACACAGCAACAAACTCTGCCGCTCTCCGTTGATTGAACATTTAATTTTGCTCGTCTCAATCAGATTGGTATGTATTTTTGCGTTTTTAATAGTTTTCTACTTTTTAGTGTAAAAAATAACTGTTAGTTTAACTGATATTTCATTTAACCTGCTGATATTTACTGTTGTGTATAATTATGAGTTTATTGATGTTCATGGTTCATTCATACAGAAGTACACTAATCATAGTTCATAAAATAGTTTGATTCTTATGGCATTATTATGAGTTTAATCTAAATATAGCAGTGTTTGATTGGTAAACGGTCTTAATGATAGTCAGCTCTGAATCATTCCTTTTACATATATTGCTGCTTTTTGGTCAGTTTGCTAAGTCACTGCCTGAGCGACCCAGATATCACCGAACACGAAGCAGGAGACTGAGTAGTAGTAGTAACGCCCACTTGATGGATGGAGTTCCAACCTGTTGGCTGCCACAGTGTAGATCGTTTTTTTTTTATCTTTTCCTGGAATAAAAACTCTTATTGCGCAGATTATCAGTAGACTCTAGAGACGTTTTTGACTACGTTATAGACTAGTTTGGCGAGCTGTTGGCTATTTTGACAAGTTATTTAAAGTGGTGGACGACAGGGTACGGGACCCTAGCTGGCCCAAGCCTGGACGTTGTCCCGTCAGACGTTAAAATGTTCTTTGTATGATGCAGTGCTGAAAGTATCACATTCAGACTTTATATTTATATGTTAAATATATTTGTAAACAGTGTTTCATTTAAACCAAATGCTTCACTTCTCTCTTCTTCTTTTCTTTATGTATTTTTTCCTGGTAAATCCATGTTGTGTTTTTCTCTCTTCATCCTTTCTTCTTCAGGAGTTCAGATGTTCATGTAATGTTAGGAAGATGTACACATTAGGGTTTTTTTAGTGGCGAGTGTTTGTTTGAATATGTCTGCAGATTCTACAGATGTATGCATCTTCATATGGTTTTTGGTCTGTACAAACATTTGTGAATGGCAAAAGTTTTATTTGTTTGGTGGTATTTCTGTAGATATTGTAAAGTGTATGTGCACGCATGTATGTCTGGAGAGGTACAGTATGTACATGAAAAGTAGAAGTGTCCTTAAATGCCCTAACACTTTTTCCTGTTTCCTGCCTCTGTCAACCGCAGAGTGTGTGCAGGGTGATAAGTTTAGAGTAATTCAGAGATTTGTTCTGGTAGCAAAGACATTGTTATGATATTTTGGTTACTTAAGTGATTTATTCTTCTTGGGTGAAGTTGGTGAGTTAAATGGGATAGTTTTAGAAGGTTTTGGGTGGATGTGTGAGAATGATTTGATTTGTATTTGAAGAGTGATGTTTACACTTCTACATTGTTTATTAAGGGAACTGTCTAAAAAAGTTGTATATGTTGTAAATCTTTTCCTGAAGAACTGAGTCAGTTTCTTTTATTTAGCTATTTATTTGTCTTGGTTACTCAGCTGGATAGAAATTAACTCAAGATTTGACAACTGCTTCCTTTCTGACGTTTTCAGCTTCTACTAAAACTTTCAGATGTGGCTTTTCAATTTCCACTTCCTATTGTTCATCTGCTCTCAGTTTCTTTCTTCTTCTTTCTCTCATCTCATTAGTCTGATGGTCCACCACTTTGGTTCAAACGAAAATATCTCATCAACTATTGAATGGATTTAAATTTAATTTCGTACAGACATACATAGTCCTGAGAGGAATAATTTCTTTGGTGATCGCCTCAGTTTTTCAACTGCTGGATGGATTGCCATGAAATTTGGTACAAATATTCACGTCCCACTCAGGATGAATTGTCAAATTTTTTTGATTCTTAAACATTTTCTCTAGCACCATCTTCAGATCAAACCTTTAATTTGCCCAACACTTCATGGCCAAATAATGACATTCCCATCAGTCTCAGCTGTGTTGCTGCTTTGTGTTTAGCCCTAACTAGTAAATGTTAGCATGCTAACCCGCTAAACTAAAATGATGGACATGCTGTACTTTCATCAGCAGGGTAGCATTGTCGTTGTTATGTTACAAGTAAGTACAAGTGCTTAAGTTCAGCCTCACATGGCTGTAGACTCTTGTTTAAATCTCTGAAGTTATGTGGGTTTTGTTTTTATAGTCAAAATGAAGATCGCAGCTTTCAATGTCAACAAAATGGGATGGAAAAAGGTCAACAACCACTTTGTGCGAAGAAAGCTTATCAAGGTATGTCACTGTTCTGGTAAAATCTTTGATGTTCGGTGTAATGGCAGAAATTTGTTTCTCCTTACATCTTATCTTTTATGCATGTACTTCTTTTATTACTTTAATTATTATTAATAATATCAGTACTATTACTGTTTATGTCTTATTTATATATATATATTTTTTTATCCTTGAAAAAGTATATTATTATACCATTATACATTCATTATATATCATTATATTAGCCTGTCCACAGATGTAGGTGTGACATTGTTTTAGTGTTTTCCTTTAACTGTTGAGGATCTCTGCTCCCCAAAACATTGAAACCAAGACTGTGTAAATGATTATGCCTCTCTTTGCTCTGGCCCAGACGCTCGAAGCTGCCGTAGGCGGCAGGTCTCTGGACCAGCTGATTTTCTGTTGTAGTACTTCTTTTATTAATAAATTCTCCAAAGACAAGGGTCTCTTGTAAGTCAATTAGTTGCTCAATACCTCACCAGCAATATACAATTTCCACGACATTCAGTATAATCCATCCATCCATCCATCCATCCATCGTCAACCGCTTATCCTGCATACAGGGTCGCTGGGGGCTGGAGCCAATCCCAGCTGACATCGGGTGAAAGGGGGTTACACCGTGGACAGGTCGCCAGTCCATCGCAGGGCACATTCAGTATAATAATTTATCTTATGTTATATTTTTGTGATGCTCACACAGTGTGAAAATACAGTGAAAGGAGCTTTATTTTATTATGTAACACAGACATAAGATCACCATGTTCAGTGTACTTATATGATCCCGGAAAGAAGAACGCTGTTATTTTACACTGTAGGACATGAGGTCAGATTTGGTGGCACAATTTCTGGAAAAAAAGTACGTATTGTTGTTATAAGAAACACAATACATTAATTACTGTGGTTTTATATCTGAAATATTAGTATTTATTTTAATTTACCTTTTTCACTGAAGACATGTCACAGTTAGAAAAGCTGTAAATGATAAAATGAATGATGGCTGAATTCCATTTTGCTGCTTCAGCTTCCTGGTTTTACTCATGCAGACTCGCTGTCGCACTGTCAGAACTTTCTGGGACATTTGAAAAGAACAAAGCCATTGTTAATGTTGTTACACCTGTGCTTTACCTAATATGACAATTCAAAATATGCTGTGTTGTACTCCTGTGACTCTATTGTCTTTATTATTGCAGATTGTGTCTCGGTACAGCGTGGTGGTGATGCTGGAAGTTGTGAATCTAAGTGGCATGGCCATGTTAAGGTTCCTCAGAGAACTCAACAAGTAAGTGCTACTGGACGTTTTTTGCTTTGCTGAATTTTTGCAGAAAATGTTGCACATGAGAGAAGTTTTCACTCAGGGCTTTCTGACAGAAAGGCTTTCTTCCAAACTACTATGTGCTGAAATTTCCTGTAACTGTTAAATTTGTGTTGCTCGGTTCCCTGTGTTTTTTTAGTTTGGAATAATTTTTTTTTTGATGTCTGATGTGTTGCCGTAAAGCACAACACTGTTCTGGCGATAGAAAACCTGTCTGGTGTCTCCTTCCTAAATAGTGCCAGGGAAAGCTTAACCGGGATGCAGCAGCAATGATCGTCGCCTGATATTTCAATCACACTATTGGATGTCAGTGTACCGTCAGAATGATTTTGAGCTTGCTATTTTAAGATTAAAAAAAGACTACCTGCTGTTGCTTTAAATGCATCCAAATGTTTTCACAATTTCACATAAATTGTCAAAGCAATTTGGGCATGGTTTAGTCTTGAAATTATCAACATGTATAAACTTATGAGAAATGTCGATGTTTGTGTTGTTTGACAGAAAGAATAAACGTAATCCATTCAAGATGCTGTGCAGTGAATCTCTGGGACAAAGCTCCTACAGGGAGAAGTTTGCCTACTTCTACAGGTATGAAGTGACACACTCACGCTGCTTATCTGCTCATCACAGTGTCATGAAGTTTTACAAATGTCCGACATCTCCAAACTAATTTCCATCTAGTCGCGACGCCCATCAACATGTTGTACATGTAAAAATGTAACCTGCCTGTCTCTGTGTCTGCATTAAAATGAATAAATGTGCAAAGGTTCAAGTGAGTTAAGAGTTATGGCCATTTAAATTTGATCATGTTTCTGTAGCGCCACCTATAGGTGAAATGCCAACACATTTGAGTTGATATGTGCATGTGTATCACAAAGAATTAGGCAACGAATTATAGGAAAACTGTAATTGTATTCAAATATTCTCATCCACAATTGTTTTCTTTATTTTGGTTTAGGGTGAGTGTATTCTGATTATTATGAACTAGTATTTCTTTTCTCCTCTTTGGTCGAGAAGCCAAAACCTGAAGAGCTTTATAAATGGTCACATGGTGCTGCTATTGGACCAAACACCTCATACTGGCCATGAACTGTAATACAGTTAAAGATAAAAACATAAAAGAGACACCCTGCATTAATAAACAAACAGATCAATAAAAATAACAAACATAAGGTAGTGGTAAGGAGGTAATTAGTAGTTTTAAAACAATGAAAAAATGAAACATAATGTTTCTGATACATGCATCTGTGTGTCTGTGTCTCAGAGAGAATGAGGTCAAGATATGGGACTACTACCAGTATGAAGATAATGAAGACGTGCTCGCCAGAAATCCCTTCATTCTGTGGTTTAAGTGTCCAAATACAGGTACTTCACAAGTGTAGAAATACAAATGCATACTGTATGTGTGTGTCCTCTTGTTAAGCCATACCTTATTGGCTGTGTTTGTGCTTCAGTTGTGCAGGACTTGGTGCTGATCCCAGTCCACACCAAACCTGAGGATACAGCGAAAGAGCTGGACGCTCTGGGTGATGTGGTCGAAGATGTGAGGGAAAGATGGCCCATTGATGTGGGTTGGAAATTATTATAATAGAATAAATATAAAGTTTGAAAAAAGAGCTTTTTTGGTGGAAATGACAGCAAACTGATAAGAGATTTGACACCAAACAGAAATGAAAAAATCAAAACGCTGCTCTGCAGAGCTAGTTTCCAACCGACACAACTAGAGTATTGGTCTTAAAATGAGGTATCGTCAGGAGCCTTGTTGGAGCATTATTATCTTGAGGATGACATGTGAATTTACGCACAAGGTTCAGCAGCATAACTTTCAAAGTTTTTATATCACGTGGATCAGTGTTGGGAAGGTCACTTCCGAAATGTAATAGGTTACCAGTTACAAGTTGCCCTATTATTTAAAACTTTAAAACTTTTTTCAATTACTTTATCAAAGTAATGTATCTTATTACATTAAATTACTTTTTAATTACTTTTCAAAATTTCTAATGAGTATTTTCAACTGTTAACCATTTTTAAAAGACAATTTAACTGGTGATTTAGTAACTGCCATTTAATTATGTTTTCTATAAATTTCATTGTAACCTAACGCTTAAATTATTGAAGTATGAAATTATTGTCTTTTGAATCTATTTTGGGGTCACGTGTTGTGTTTATTATGATATTTCCTCTATTTATCTATAGAGGTATAAGAAACTAGTAAGATTTGAGAACATACTTTATCTGTCTATGATTATGTTTATGGTTTTTCTGCAGAACATTATGATTTTGGGGGACTTTAATGCTGATGGGCGTTACCTCTCCAAGAAGAAGAAGAAAAATATTCGCATCTGCTCTGCTCCGTACCATTGGTTGATAAAAGATGGTGTCAACACCACGACAAGTGACAATACTGACAACACCTATGACAGGTATCTTTACATCATGTTATGTTTTGTTAGGGGAACTACAGTTTATTTTACTAATATATATATATATATCTGCCTCCACTGCATAAGAGTAGAGGTGAAAGGAAATTATTTCTAGGCATGGAAATGTTGGTCAGTCTGCCACTTTGGTCCAGACTAAAATATCACTACAACTACTGGATGGCATGTCATGAAATTATTGTCATTCACATCCCCTTCAGTAGGAACCTCACTCTCCGACACTTAAGAGACATGCTAGTGACAGATGCTGGTGCCAGGGGTGGACCGGTAATCTGGCCTACCGGGCAAATGCCCAGTGGGCCGACGCACCTATGGGGCCGGTATAACGTAAATTATTTATTTATATACCTGTTTAAAAAATGGGCCAACGTACCGTAACCCCCTCTGCCCTCTGTTCTTGTGTTGCGTGCAAAAAATAATAATATTCAGACTGATGCCACCAAATGTGCCACAATAACCGATATGTTTGCTACCGGGGCTGCACAAGCTTCAACATCGGGCACTTGAAGGAGTAAAGGAGAGTCCTACCACTGGTGATCACTCCCTGTCAAACAGCACAGCATTACTATTAGACATTGTTTATGTAGCATAGTTCTGTAATGCAGTCTCAACTTCAGCTAACTGTCCTAATGGCTGACATTAGTTTGTAAGCATTGTGGTGGCTAATCCCACCCTGCTGTGAAAATTACTTGTACAGTCCAGCCCTGGCTGGGGCCCATGTGTTTTAGCTTCCTTGTTTGCATGGGCTCATTACTCTGCAGTTCATTTTTCAATATTGGGAGCGCCAAACCAAATGTCCTTCCACCTGCCTGGTAATGATGCAGAGTCAGACACCTCAGACATATTTGGCTACTCCAGTTACAGTGTCAGTGAGAAAATACTTGTTTGTTAGGTGAACTGACCCTTTAGCAGAGGAAGTTCTACGAAGAATGTGTTTGTGAATTTTTTACAGTTTGACATTTCCACATAAATCCCTCATTGTCACTGCATTTTCTGCCAACAGGATTGTGGTGTTTGGCGATTACATGTATAACGCTGTTGTGCCCAACTCAGCCAGCCTTTCAACTTCCAGGACGCCTATGGCCTTTCTAATGCTGATGTAAGACTGTCTGGGAATTTACATGGAGCTTTTGGACTGAGATCATTTATAACACTTTCAATTAATAAAGTCATTTTTCCACCTTGATGTTCTGCAAATAAATTTGTGACTTTTTTTCTTCCAGACTCGAGCCATCAGTGACCATTACCCTGTGGAGGTGGAGCTGGAGGAGGAGGATTATTCACTGTTTTACAGTTACTATTAATGTTGAATATTTTAAGGTAGCCATGCTGTGTGTCTATTTTATATGCCTAGTTAGATTAGGATAATAATTTACATGTTTATTAGAATATTTTTAAGGTATTTATTGAAAGATACGCTGAACGTTGAGGTGCAGTTCTATATAACAAAACACACACACCTCACATTGTGCGAAGAAACACACCCAGGCTGGAAGGAGGAGTCTGCATGTAATGTCACACACAGCACACTAACCTGTGTGCACGTGTTAATATTGACCCGCTGTGTGATTGTTTCATGCATTTACATTTCAATTTATTTCTTTAGAGGTGTTCTTATTTATTTAGAGGTATTGTGTTGTGTAAGAATGCATCATATACTATATTCTGTGTTATTCAATATGTATCATCTATTCATTACATTACATACATTTAGCTGACGCTTTTATCCAAAGCGACTTACAATCTCTATACATGTCAGAGGTCGCACACCTCTGGAGCAACTAGGAGTTAAGTGTCTTGCTCAGGGAGACGATGGTGGGTGTATCCCAGTGGGGGATTATTCATCATTTATTCAATTCACTATATCCTATGTTACTCATAAACTTGTATGAGCATGTAACACCCATAGTTAGATTAGACTAAACTTTGAGTTGCCACTCTGCCCTCTGTGTGAGGCCATAACTGACAGTCTAAGAAAAATGGCCCTCAGACCTAAGAACACAAATTACACTAGTGGAACTAGCAGAAGGCTTACTCTGGTTTTGTCTTGCTTTGACAATAAACTATATTGCATCTGTCTCTGACTGACTCCGGTGGCTTCTTTTGTGCTCAAAGTACTGTCGACCTCCACTGAAACTTGTTAAACGCTGAGGATAGATCTGGGCTTTCTGCCCCTCAACAATTGTAGAGTTTCAGAGAGCAGGATTGGTGAAAACTCTACTAAGCCTAAGATGAGGGAAACTCTGGGTTACCTGTTTCAGAGACCGAGATCAGTTAAATCCTAGATACTCCTACAACTTATGCTATGAAGCTAACATGCGTCGGAGGAGGTTTACTTCAACAAACCTGTTTCTCTCTTACTCTTCCTGTGTAGCCTGAAGCAGCTTTCTGATCCACCGTTTTATCTTCTTATTTATAGTGTTGATTTCTAAGCACATATGGAATGCATTCATTTGCAAAAGTAACTCGTAGCTTTTGCTGTCAAATTTAGTTTAAGTAGTAAAAAACTACCATATTTTTCTCTGAAATGTAGTACAGCATAGTAAGTATAAGTACCTAAAAGTAGTTCTTATGTACAGTTTGATTAAATGTAAAATCCCCGGATGTTTACAGAACTGGTACACCACTTTTTTTGCTGATATTTGTCAGCCATTGATAATGACTCAACTCTGTGTTTGAGCGCCAACTTCTTGGCTGGCAGAGACACTTCCTTGTTTTCTGCAGAAAGTCTCAAGTCACGTCTGTCTTCCGTCATAGTAACAAACTCTGCAGCTCTCTGCTGTTTCAACATTTGATTTTGCTCATCTCAACCAGATCGGTGAGTATTATTTTTTTTGCTACAGCCGCACGTCTTGTTTTTGCCTTTGCTTGGGTTTAGCTAAAAACATCCCTCATCAGGTGGTCAAATGGTTTATCTGGTGGTGGATGTGCTGCTAAGCGAACCTGTAATCCTCTCCTTATGTTGTGTGTTAAGCAGATTGAGCATGTTTGACAAATGTTATGAGCGTATGTTGTGAAACCTTTCATAAACCAGTTCAACCTTGAGCTTCCGCTGTCTGATAACACACCTAACACACAGAGTTGTTGTTCACATTACATTCCATCTCTAACTCTGTATGACTTAGTTTTGCATTCAGTTCCCTCTTTTTCTCTGTGGAGAAGAGCAAAAAACTCTGGACTATGTTTTAAAAATCAAACATTCTTTTCCTATAGAAATGGGGTCAATCTGTTAAATGTAAATGCTCCGTATAGCACCTTTCTAGTCTTTTCGACCACTCAAAGCGCTTTTACACTACATCTCACCAGTCATACACATTCATACACTGAGCCTAAGTGCACAAACAGAAACTAACATTCACACACATTCATACACTGGCGGAACAGCCGCCAGGGTCATTTCGGCGTTCAGTATCTTGCCCAAGGACACTTCGACATGCAACCAGGGGTAGCCAGGGATTGAACAGCTAACCTTCCGATTAACGGCCAACGCCCCAACATGTTAGCGTGCATCACATTTTGGGATCCCTATAAATCATTATCAGCTTTTTTATGGTGACTGGTTTTGGAACAGATGAAAAGGCTTGTTAGTATTGGGAAAGAGAGATTTACTCCCATTGTGATTGAATTGCAATTGGAGACTAGCCTTGTGTGTGGCCATTGTGGGCTAACCACTTTTAGCAACATGGTGGTCATCTTAGCATGCTTCTTGCAATGGAGTGCAGAATGGAACTGACCAGCCGCGCGGGAAATGTAAAATGTGTGGTCTTTGATGTAATCAATAATGTGACATTTTGAAACCCGACTCTATCTGCATGTATCCAAAAGTCTGTGTAGTGTGTGTTGATAGAAGAAATAATAAGGTAATAAATATTTAAATATACATTGATAAATTAGTTGATGTGTAAAATAGGCTTTAATGTGATTATTGCTGATCAAATTGTAATATAGTTATGTGCAAAATTAAGGTCTGAAGTGGCAGAGTCCACGGCTGAATAAGGGAGACTTAATTCTGGGAGAAAAAAAAGAGTCTGCTCATACTAACAGAGCCAAGAGTGCAGCGCTGGAGGGGCACAGAGCAGGAGCTGAGGTGCAGCTGCGTTTGTGTCTGTGGTGTGTGTGTGTTTGTGTGGGGGAGGACAGTAGACTAAGAAAGGGAAAAAAGTGAGCAGTACATCCCTAAACCAAAAGTTATCTGAGAAGTTTTGTGATCTGTTGCACCTTTATGAAATATTTATAATAACAGCATGCTTTAGCAAGTTACTAATGAGTTGATAATAACAGAATGTATTAAAAGTTTTTTAACAATGGGCGGACCAGAAACCTCGAGCAGAGCCATGGCTCAGGGTGGGCGGCCATCTGCCTCGCCCAGGAGGTGGAGGAAGAGCTAGGCATGTCGAGCTGAACACAGAAAAATTAACAAAGCAGCTGCAGCTCTCATCTGAAGTCCAAGACACTGACTCCACCCCCCTCTGTCACATTGCTGAAGATAAAATAATGAGAAAATAAAAAAGACAGACAATCAGCAATGTGTAGAGGTCTACTGAGGATACAAACATATACATGTCACATCAGATGAGAAAAACATTAACACATACACACACTAGGCTACATTATATAGTACAATACCTAAACATATGCACACAAGACAGGATAGTGTTTAGGGCAAGTGATAAGGAATAGCAGAAAAGCTTCTAATTAACAGAAAAACACATACATGAATACTGCTCGCATTTAAACATGATTTTAAAGGATGTTTGTAAATTAGGAAATATGGACAACAATATAACTTAGATTAAATCAGCACAGCCCATACATATTAAGCTTGAACTAGGAGCTAGGGTGACAAACACCAATAATGTCAATTAATGTAGCTATAGAAGGGATTAGAATGGAAGGCCATTGATTTTGTTTTAGGTTAAAAAACATACGTATCTGATGTAACTGTTTTTTGTAATTTCTCAACTATTGGTTCACTGTCTCCTGAGTTAGTTATTAGAAGACAGTTTCCGCCATGGAGAGTCAGAAGGGAAAGCAGCCACTGCGTAAAATCTTGGTTTGTTTCATTCAGTGCGTCCTGAGTACAGTATGTGGAAAGCGTATGTACCTGCCCATCCTTCCTAAGATTACACTAAGTACTTCGAGCAGCACACCTGAAAAACTGCTTTGGGAAAACCCAACAGAAACAGCTGCAGTATGCTGGAATGACCCAACCTGGCGCTGTACGTCCCAACGCCCCATTCCCTCTCTGATACCTACAATGGGTTGTGTTGCTATTAGGACTGGCGCGCTGGCTGGATGAATTTTACGCACGATCCATGCACTACTTCAGCTGGGGGCTCTCTGCAGCGCCACACAACTTTCTTCCATCTCTATGGTATGGTTCACACACTGCGCGAGGAAATGCAGAGTTGCAAGAAGTTTGGGTTTGGCAGGTATTGCGTGACTCCTTCTTGTAACTGGCTCCAAATCAGCCCTGAGGTCAACCAACAGCTTCAATATTACATGGCTGGAGAGGCGAAATGTGCCCGTTATATGTTCCTCAGTCATGCCATAAATATCGACACCAATGGAAAAAACCCTTTCTAAATTCAATTCAATTTAAATTTGCTTTATTGGCATGAATGTTAATACAACAGTTTTGCCAAAGATTCAAGGAAAATACAAAAAAAACCCGATTCAATTCATATAGTTCATCGAATAAATAAAATAAAATATAGTTTTTTCCATATATTGGATATAGAATAATATTATCTAACATTTTTTATTTTTTTCTTTCATTACGCCTGTGTCTCCTTCTCGCAACGATAACAGCAACCTCTGCGCAACACATGAGGGTTTGCACCTTCCTTTCAAAAGTATTAAATACAGATGCTGTTGCACTCACATGAAATTGCTTTTAGGCTTGTTAGATCACATTCCGTGTAGTAAATAAATGTATTTGCATGTTACCCTCCCATTACTTTGCACAATAAAATTGAAACGCTCCAAATTGCATATTTATTAAGACAAAAGTAGTAACAGGTGATTTATTGCACTTTTGAAAGGCGTCATTCTCCGTGGACACCGTTAGTAGATCAGCTTACATGTTAATTTGCTGGTGATATCAAGTTTCCACACCTTTTTACTCACGTAAACCTTTAGTAAATCTGACCCCATAAGGGTATTACGCAGCTGTCTTACGGAGGAAGAGAGTAGGAACCAACTGTCTGAGATGAAGGCCTATCAAGGACAGTCAGATAATAAACTCTCTAACGAGCTACTTTCTCATTGGAACAGCCTTCATTCACCTATAGCCATAACAGTAGAAAAAGTATCAAACACAATGAAACATTAAAATATTAAAATTCCATCACAATACAAACTATCCCCTCCCTGCCCAGGGCCGGCCCTGACAATGTCGGTGTTTGAAATTCAAAATAGCAGGATTTATCCTCATGTTCAAAACGTTCTGCAAATTCAGAATCTCTCCCACATATCTGTGTTCTCTGACATGGCCCTGACAATTTAAGGCTACCTGCCTTATACTGCTGTACATTACGTTATTGCTCCGCTGGTAGTAGGCTATCCCATTTACACCGTTTACCGACACAGTTTGGGACTGCACGCTGCATGTGAAACCGAAACTAACTGAAAACTCACGACAAATTTACACATGTTAACTTCAGCAGCTCCAATAAAGTGCAGCTCACAGTCCCAAAAAGAGCAAGGTTGCGCATTAATTTTTTAGATGTTTATGTTGCAAAATTGTAGCAGTTACGTTACTACTCGTACTCACAACGCGAGGTGCACTTGATTAGTATCACGGCTGGGTGGAGTTGATTAGCGCCGAGTCTCTAGAATCTCTTGAGGCGGCCCCTGACATTTTGTGCCATAGGCAGCTGCCTATGTCGCCTATGCCACGGGCCGTCCCTGTCCCTGCCCAAGCTATACATGCATAAATAAAAATACACTAAGATAAAGACAGCTGTTTCCTTTCTGATGTTTTCAGGTGCCATTGACATTGTCAGATGGATTTTTTGCTTTTACTTCGTCTTTTTCATCTGCTGCCCATTTCTTTCTTCTTCTATCTCTCATTTAATTA